AATGAAATTAATAAGGTTAAGCAACTAACATATGTTTTTAGAAACAGTTGATTACTAGATCACAATATATCATATTTCACTATGCGAGTTGAATTTTAAGGTTAGTCATGTTTTAAAATAGTGTGTAGAGGTGATTTCTTTATTTTCATTACTTGGATTTTCTTAAGAAATGAGGTAGGGTTTTCTCTCATTTCTTTTCTAATTATGCCAGGGTGACGTTAACAGTACCCGTATTTTTTTTCCTTACAGATCAGATAAACTTTCTTTGAGTACTCTTTCTCAATCGAAAAATGGTATGTGAGGCTTTCTATTACTCCAAGATAATGGAGCTGTTGCTGAAGTTAGTCATGTCCCATAGGCATCCTGTAGCAAGCAATTGATTGTTCCCGTGACAATGGCATTGCTATGCTGTCTTCTCTTGAATTTTAATAGAGGCTCTTGTTTTTCTTCTACTAATTTTGAAAAGTGTTCTTTTATATTTTTCCTAATATTAGCTCTTGCTACTCATTTAGCAGACTCATAATGCAATAGATTTGCTGGCTATGGTATTTCGGATCCTTGTCTGGTCAATCTGTCACCTTCTACATTCCTTAAGAGTAAACATTGGTTTGAAATTCAATTGAAGCCCCTTTTTTTATATGATGATTATCCTGCATGTGTCAATTTCTACGTTATTGTTACCTGTTGACTTTTGGACAGTAGTACAGCCTGTAAGTTTATAATGATGGCTGTTTTTTTTTTATGTCCAAAGAAGATTATATTTTCCAAAGCCAGTCTGATTGTGTTTATGTCTGCATCATAATTTGGTGCTTGCAATCTTCCCCATAGGTTCAGTCATATCAAACTCCCTACACTGAATTCTTGCACTTACGTATTTTATTGCTCCTTCCCCTGATCTATCAGTAAAAATATCAAAAATACAAAACAGGAAAGTACCACTCTTCTAGACACCTCTTAGAAGTAGTTTCTAATGCTAGAAATCTAAGGATCTGAAGCAATACATATTATTTACTTACAGATGTAATAACTATATCTGAACATGTGTGCGTATTGCAGACTTAGACTATCTGGGGGGATGAAAGGCTGTCAGGGGAGTTCCAGTCTGTTTCTGTTTATGATGTTATTTGTTTCAGTGGTCTGTGATTTAGGTAGTCTGTAGCTGAAGTATATATTTTCCAATACTCAACATCCAAGCATTGTATGCATTCATACCTGCTCATCATCAATTTCCAACTGCTCTCCTCTAACCCACGAGAATTTTCACCCATAGATTGTCAAACTCGTTCAATTGTTTCTTCTTGTCTGACAGTGCAGGGATGACCAATAGTTTGAATTTTAATGGTTGATTCTATTAATTTAAAAATTGTCATCCATTTCTGAATACTGTTTGTGGAGTTTACTTTAAATTTTAAAATAAATACGATATAAAGCTTGAGCCATAATAATATAATTATTATTTTGGTAAATTGCTGAGAAATAGAGGGCATTCTATTTATCAATAAACAGTTCCATAACTACTAAAATTTCATATAACGGGCTGCTTCATAACTATCATTTCCTTCCAGTTTTCTCTTGTTAATTAGAAAAACAAATAGCACTCACACTTTTTGGATGCCCTACGTTATTACTTTTAAATGTTTAAAACGTTATTATTGATCTATTTGGTTTAATATTGTTTACAGATTCGGATGAAAACAAAATGATTTAGGCATGAATATTTGTTCAAGCTTAAATAATTTTAGATATTGTTCAGTTTTGGGAAGAAGTGCCTTTTTTCTGCATTACTCCCTATGCAATAATGGTTTTAGCTATCTGCTTGGTGTAGTCTGTTTAAGTCAAATTTTCCCAGCAATGTTTTGTGATCATCCAGTGAAACATGGTGTATCATGGTGGCCATCCAGTTATCAGACAGCAATGAGCACATAGTCCTCCAGATTGGGGGAACAATAACTCTTGTCTCTCAAACAGTACACCATATGTATATATATAGTACCGCAGACTACTCGGGGATCTTATGATAGGTACACACCATAAATCAAACCCATGTCAGATCATTTAGAAGAGCAAATATTGAACAAAAGATGAGCATTGCAAAAATCAGGGCTAGGATATCCTGCAGAAGATCATTAGCATACCTGTCAACATGATACTAGTTAGGTATTCCAGTAGGTGAAATAGTTCAGTTATCTAGGTAACACAATTTCGAGCAACGACCTCAGCCTGAAAATTAGAAGAAGAATTACTTCTGCTAACCGATGCTTGTTGAGCTTATCAAAAGAAGTTGGTCTTTGGGCAATAAAACAAAAATTGATTGTTACAAGACCCTGATATAGCCAGTCTTGACCTGAGTGGAGAATCCTCAGGAACATCTTTAGGCCTGTTTAAGACAGAAATGTTTAGCATAGAAGAAAAAATTAAGAAATTATAAGCTCTACTAGGTAGACATGGTTAGGTTCAAGGATTTGAAGGTTACGCTGGGCTGACCATCTCTTTCAAATGGATGGATTCCAAGATTTCAAAACTACTGATACCAAAGGGACTGCACAGAATAAGAAGAATAGGAAGACTTAGAATCAGGTTGCTGAACAGATATCAATAGCTCGACAAATTACTACTTATGAAAAGGAGATTCTGGAAGTTTGTTGACAATACTTCCGAGAGAAATTCGCCTATGTTGATCAAATTAACAGTGTGAAACTTGATATGATGTATCAGGAATGTGGTAGATCAATGAGAGGATATGGATTACTGTATCTCATTCCATACTTCCGTAAAAAACCTTGGTGTTACCTTTGATCAAACCCTCTCCTAAAAACCACACATCTCCCAAATTTCCTGTCGTACTATCTCTACCCTGAAACAGATTAATGGTCCCCGCTATCTCTTTCCATATAAATCCCATCAACTCCTGGTCTCCTCTCTTGTGTTCCCCACTTCGACTATGGCTGTCTGGTGTACAGGGGACTCTCGGAAGAATTTGAGGCCAGACTTGAACGTCTAATGAATTGCGAAATATATATATTTTTTCGGAATCTCACGAAATATGCATATAACCCAGTATAACATCAAGTTGAAGTGGCTCTATCCATCCAACCACCATCTGTACTTCCTTGTGACCTTCCTATATTTTTCACAGCCTACAATTTAAATATTCCATTCAACCTCATCCCACTAGATCCCGTACTTCCGACCTCTATCCACCTCTTCACCGAATTGCTGTTTGACAAATCCTTTATAATCTAAGCCATCATCTTCTGGAATACCATCCCTCCCGATATCCAACATGCACAATCAGTTTCGTCATTTAAATCTCTCCTTTTTAAACAACTACTCCTCCCAACCCGATTGATCAAGAAATGCACATAAGAGAACTTTTTAAGTTCCCCAGAAATGATTTTGTTTACTTATGTTATTTTATTTTACCATGTGTGTTTTTATATATATGTATTTGTGTGTGTGTGTGTGTGTGTGTGTATTTAATGTGTTTTTTTCTTCCAATATTTTAATGTTAATGAGATCTGTAAATATTTAATTTAATGTATGGTCACACAGGCATTTTTTGTGTATCTATAATTTGTCCTAAAGGGACAACAGTCCCAGGATAATAAAAAATATATTTTCATTTTCATCACAGAATATGAAATAGGGATAGCTCTTGATACCATGAAGATTGGTGTTCCTGACAATATTACTCCAGGGCTTATTAAATTTTTAGTTGAAGATTTGGAAGAAAATATTCCAGACTTTATTTGAGACAAATGGAATGAAAAGAGAATACCAGAGATTCGAGAACAAAATATTATTATCCCTATCCATATGAAAGAAAATCAGACCATCTGCGAAAACTATAGACCTATTAGCCTATTCTCAATTGTATATAAACTTTATCCTCAAACATTGGTACTACCTCTAAAGGGCTATGTCCAAAGAGATATAGAGGAAGAATAGGATACTTTTTGTCCTGGCTAATAATACCAAGACCATTTGTTTTCCCTGAGGAAGGTAGCAGAGAAAGCATGAAATTGAGGACAGAGTGTTAACCATTCCTTTGGTGACCCAAGAGCTGTGTTTGACCCACTTTCACACCAGGAAATATGGAATGCCTTGAGAAAAAGGAATGTACCACTGAATTTAATAAAAACTTTGAAGTACAAGATCTACACCTTTTAGAATCTATAAGAGAGGGAAGCAGGGTGACAGTTTTAGTCCCTTCATTTTTAATATTGTGATAGACCAGGTATGGAAGAAATGCAAAAGGAGGATTCCTAGATTAACTGTGGGATATTGGAATCTACTTCCATTGCTGGTCCAAAATTTCATTTATGTAGATGACATATTGGTGATTATAGATTGGTCTGAATTATGGATCAGAATGATGGACAGTGCTTAAGAACCTTGTAAGCCAAGTTACCCCACATAAATGAGATACCTAAAAAAAGTGGCAGGTAAAACTAGATGAGACTCTAACAATTTGTATGCGATAAGAAATTATAGCATCCATGACACAATGGGAATGAAATCTATTATTGAAGCCCTCGAGGAGCACCAGCTGAAATGGTTTGACCATATTTATAGGATGGGAGATGATCATTAATCCAAATATGGTCATTAGCCTACTGGCTAATGAAAACAAGACCAATAGAAAAGTTCCCTGTTGTTAGGCCAAGACTTACCTATAATGACCGCATTGACAAGCTTGAAAGAGAATGCCGTTGTCCACCAACTTCGAAGAATAGCTATTGACAGGGATAAGTTCAAGAAAGGGTCTGAGGCTACTGTACACCTAACAGCACTAAAGATATAGTGAAATAAAAAAAAGAATTCTTTGAATAAATCAATGTTTTCAGTGAAAGAAAAAGTGAAAAGCTTAAATATTTTTTAAATTATTAATATTATTTATTTCATAGTGAATTCTCATTAAATAATAATTAAGTAAATGTAAATTGGATTAATGAATAATGTTAACTCTTTAACTTATCTCTAATCTTATCTATTTTCAGATCCTATATATTCAGGCATTTATTTTGGTGATTCTAATGGGCAAATTGATGAGAAAGGTATTTTTTGGGGAATTACGCCCAGTTGAATTGGAGGTAACTTTTTAATTATGATTTATATTTTTCCTTATTTATGATTTTCACTTCTGATATATTTGCTATTAATATATATTAATGTTTCAAATTAACTTCCTCAAAAAGTATGATATTTGTGACTCAAAAACAGATTATTCACAGGAATAAAAGATAAGGTTTGTTCTTTATAAGTTTTGAAATGTGGTTAATCTTTTAATATACTTTTCTTTTATTCCAAGCTTTATTTTGTCAATATTGAATTAATACTGGTAGGATTTTTAGATTGCTTCATGCTGTGATTGTATATACTGATGAATTGCTACCTATCTGTCTATCTAGGTGGTGCAATATCCCATTTTTCGGCTAGACCTCCAGTTTTGAATTCTAGATAAAAACCAAATATCAGCAGTCATGCCATTTTACTGAGTCTGCTTCCATATAACTTAATCTAGAATTTTCATAGGGATTTGACTATCACTTATTTTTAATATATGCTCTGATAATGAGAGTTATTAACGATGTAGAGATGGTTGACCATTGATGTAATATGAGAAGGAGTTTCATAAATGCCTTACATGAGTTTCATACATGCCTTTGATATCTGATATATTAATTTTTATTAATTTCTTATTTAGAGAGTTATTAACATTTTATAGTACCTAAGCTATTTGCTTCATCAAAAAAATGATCTGATAATTTCTCCTTTGCCTCCTCTAGTAAGACTCTTCTTGAGTATAAAGGAATTATTCAGTAAGATCTTAAGATTTGTAATTTTTCTCCCCATGTTGTGAAATGTATTGCCAATATTTTTATAATTATCTTTAATGAAGGACTTGTTGTATGATTTAGAAAATTCAGATTGTTATCTGCTTAAACCAAACCAGCCACTTTTCAAAGAACTAATATATTCCTTCTGTTAAATTACACATATTTAAGTAGTTTGCTGTTAAAAATGTTTACAGGAACTCTTGGTTGTTTCCTACAGAATGGTGCTAGCTGAAAACAAGTTAAATAAGTTTCAAAATTTAGTCACAGATTTTCTTACAAAATAAATATTGAAGTTAGTAAATAATATGGGATTTTTTAGTTCATATTAAAGAAAACCTATTATTGAGGCTATACATGCCTTTGATACCTGATATTTTAATTTTTATTCATTTCTTAGTATTTTATTACTAGATAACATACCATTTTCTCCTTTTATGTATTTACTATTATGTTCTATTTGTTTGTTATCTTGTATTTACTTAACCATCATGAAGGCCACAATGCCTGCACAAAAAAAAAAAATTGTGTGTATTTCACTTTGTTTACAATTTTTTTTTTCAATTACATTAAATGTTTACAATTACATTTAACATTTTATCCTCATTTTAAAGAAGTTTTTCAGCTCAATCCTGATTCATTATAATTCTTCCACTAGCGTGACCCTATTTTACATTTCGGGTAGCAGGTATCCACGATAATTTATAATTTTTAAAATAGTGTGAACATTTTGTTTCATCCCTTTCCTCTACAAACGTTTCCAATAATATAATAATTTCAAAATTGTTTATATAATTAAGGAAATCTGGCTTCAGTTTATTTTGCAGCCCATTAATATTATATGATACTATTTTTAACTGTCTCATCATTTACATTTAGCCTAGAGGCGTGCTGTAGACTGGGAGGTGGTGAGGGTGACATTGATATCCCCTAGTTGCTTATCTTCCTTATAATCCTGGCTTCCTGAAGGTCCTTCGTGTTTATTTATCTTCGTATATTCCCCAGAAATAACATCGTGTATTGACGTCCTAGAAGATTCGGTACTATTAGTAGGATCAGTAGTTCTATAATATATGAGCTGTCCAAATAAGGTGCATTTTCTGTTATCTTCTCTATACTGCAACAAGTTTTTATTAAAATTTCCTAGTAGAGAAAACATATAATTCTTTTGTTTTCCCTGGCCTAAAACATCTTTTATTGGTTCATTAATGTTGATTTGAAGGCCTTCTTTCACGAAATCGAAACTGCTCTAATTTGTCATTTAATTTTTTCTGTTTGCTAGCTTGAGCTGATGATGAATTCGGTGATAATCTTCCTTCACCAAGACTTACCAAAAGGTCTTCGATATCTGATATATGGAATTTATTTTTATTTAAATGGAAAAACTTATTTTTGTTAGTAACAGTACTGTTGAACTTAACCAGTCTATTGAGGTACATGTAAATTTGTTTTCCTTCTTCTCTTTCCTCAGGTGTTTTATCGTGTTTGATATCAATTTTGTTTTCTCCGAACGTTTCTCTTTTTTTTCATCAATTCTTGTTTTAATAGGTAACTATTTAGAGAAATTAAGATTGGTCTTGTTTTATCATTAGACTTTTTACCCAACCTGTAACAGTTATTTATTGAGTTTTCTGGTAATTCAATCCCTACACTCAAAAATATTGGCTTCACAACCCCTAATAAATTTTCTGTATTAGAGTCATCCTTTTCAGACACATTGAATAATATTAAATTATTTTTTCTATCTTTATTCTCTAAATGTTTTATTCTTTCTTTTAAATTCTGGTTTACCTTTTCAAGCTCAGCTGTCTTATTCTTAACACTTTTTAGTTCTGATAAAACATTTTCAAATAGGGTATTCATTTTTTTAACTGCTTCTTTTATTATTTTAGTTTCGTTACTATTATTACGAATTTCCACCATTATTGATTGCAGGGTGACTTCCTCTGTTTCTATTGGCATTTTGTTGATTGTTTATAATTATTTTATTGTTACTTCGTTCTTTAAAGAAGTATTTATTATTTAAAGTATAGTAATTAGCAAGAGGTCCACTCACTGGGACGGGTAGTTTTCCTGTCTCAAATCCACTCCACTCCGCTGATTTAATTATTTGATATTAGCTCAATATAAGCTAATTTTACCCTACTTTTAAACAATATTATAAAACTCTATGTCAAATATAACACTACACCACGCTAACGGTTTCAAGAACCAAGCCGTAAATATTTTTTTATTGAGATTGGATACTTTTGTTGTTTGTTATTATTTGTATAAATACTCATTCATTCATATATATTTTTTTCGGTTGGCGCTACAGACTCTGAAAATCTTTGACCCGATTCACGATTTAAAGTACGGGGTAGGATCATCAATCCTACGCCCAGTCGGTGCGAGTTGCCTCCAGTAGACTGGCGGGTCTCACATACCCCGGAAGGGGGGGGGATCTCGGGCAGCGTGGCTTTCCTTGGTGGACGGTCACCCATCTAAGTGCTAGCCAAGCTCGGCGTTGCTTAACTTTGATTACCTATTGTAAGTGCCTTAGCCTACAAAGCTACCCGTATATATATATATATATATATATATATATATATATATATATATATATATATATATATATATAAAATAATGATAAAAGGCTTAGTGAACCCAAAGGTTCAATGCCGATACAACCAATTGCTTATTACACACCTCCCTCCACCGTTCACCCTCCAAACCTAGTCCCTTTAGATCGACTTTAATACAATCTTACCATCTTCGCTTCGGTCTAGCCCTCGAATGTTTACCAGTTGGTACAGCAAATATTAATCTTTTAGAAATTCTCTCGTTACTAAGCCCAACAATTTTACTAGCCCATTTGATTCGCCAGGATGAAGTCACCTCAATTACATTACCCGGATACAGTTCAGGCAATTCGGCGTTGTGTAACCATCTGAACTCTCCAGTTAATTCATCCTTCTTCGGTCCGAATATTCTACGCAATACTTTATTTTCAAAAACCTTAAGACGTTGCTCATCCCTTAATGTAAGCGGCCACGTTTCGCATCCATAAAGAACTGTAGGCAAGATAATGGTTTTATAGATTCTAGTTTTTAAGTTCCAGGGCAAGAGGCGCGAGCTAAGTAGTTTTGTCACAGAAAAATAACAAGCATTTCCCGCCTTCAGTCTAACCTTAATCTCTTCTTCAATTTCATTTTTTTCTAGTTATCGTAGACCCTAGATACCTAAACTTCTCTACCTGTTCAAACATATTACTATCTATATCGATATCACCAGTAATATCGCCATTTTTGCAGCTAACCATATATTTTCTCTTATCCGTGTTTATTTCCAGCCCTAGTTCTTTACCGCCTTTCATTAACGTTGTCGTATTTAGTTTTACAGTTTCCATTCTTCAGGTAATTTCTCATTCTCCCAGATCTTTCTAACCAACCGATGTATTTTAGAAACTCCAGCTTCTCAGCATGCCTTAATTAGTTCAGTAGGAATATTATCGTTTCCCGCTGCTTTATAAGATTTTAATTTTCCGATAGCTACTTCAACTTCCTGTTTACTCGGTTCTTCTATCAACGGTTCAGCACTCTGGTACTCAGAAGGAGGACACATATCATAATTTCCCGTATTTAAAATATTGTCAAGGTGGTTCTTAAACTTATTTAATATGTCACCCGGGTCATCGGTCAGAATATTGTTATTTTCATCCCTAATTCCAGACGTGATGGGCCCTAAACATTTACATGATCTGTTTATACCTTTGTACATGTCTCTTAAGTTATTTTCTATTCTATTAGTTTCTATTTCAATTATTTTATTTCTAAGATACTCCCTTTTTTTATTTTTGAGCAATTTTGTTGTTTCAATCTTTGAGGTTCGGAAGTATTCCAGATTGCCTTCATTAGGATTATTTAGAGCTTTTGATTTAGTGGCTTTTCTTTTTTCGCACATGTTTAAGCAATCTTCATCAAACCACGGTTTGTTATTCTTATTTTCCTTTTTTCCTAGACATGAGTTACCGACCGCTTTACTATTATCCCTGATCTCTACCCATAACTTGTCAATATCCTCGCGGCCCTCCTCAGAAAGCTCTAAAGCTTCAAACCTAATCTTAACATCTACCTCGAAATGGGTTCTAATTGATGGATTTTTTAATTTTTCCAAATTAAAATTCTCAAAATCTAAAAGGTTTTCTTTTCTCTTTTTTATATTAAGTTCTTGTTGAAGTTTCACGATTACTAATTCATGATCCGACCCACATTCTGTTCCACGATAAGATCGTACATTGATTATAGTGCTTTGCCAGCTATGTTATATCAAGACATGATCGATTTGATTTTGTGTTTGCTAATCTGGTGATGTCCAAGTATATTTATGAATATCCGTATGTTTAAATGAAGTACTTTTAATTATCAGGTTTTTCGAGATGGCAAAGTTTATCAGACGGATCCCATTATCATTACTATATTCGTGCAAAATTTCTTTACCAATTGTCAGAACATAAACTTCTTCCCTTCCCACCTTTGTGTTCGTGTCACCTACAATTATTTTCATCATATACCCATTCGAGTTTATCGTAAAATTCTCATTTGACTTCATCGTCACTGTGTTCAGTCAGAGAATGTATGTTTATTAATGAGATTTAAAACCAACGTCCCTGAAATATAGTTACAGAAATTCTATCACTAAAGAAGTGTACATACCTCAAAGCAGATAGCAATCTATTCCTGATTAGAAACCCGGTACCTAAACAATGATTCCCGCTTCATCCGTACCAAATAGTGTATTTTCTTTCCCTTATCGAGCTCTCTCCTGGCCAGCAAACCTCTTGCAGAGCCACGACATCCAAATTGTACCCATTAATCTCACTCATGACCAATTTTAACCCTCCTGCTGTGTTTAAACTCTATGTACCACATACCAATAGCTGAGCTAACTTCTATACCTCATTAATATTTACTGTGATTTGACAAAACTTCATATATCTGATACATGAATTTTATTTTAGGTTTTTAATTATATCAATTAAATTTGAAGTAATCATTGCAGTATGCTCCAAAGATTTGTTTTTTTTTTTCAGCATTTGATGGAAAGGTCTTGGTATGCTGTGACTGAGACGTGCCTTGCTTTTACTGTCTTTAGGGATGACTTTAGCCCTAAATTCGTGGCACTTTTTACATTACTTCTCTTCTTAAAATCATTTCATTGGCTTGCTGAGGAAAGAGTTGACTTTGTAAGTCTTCTTAATTATTATTCTTTTTTATATAGAATGTTTTACATGATGGTAAATGACCATCATTTTATGTAACTTAAGTAATGTATTTTCAAGTCCAAAAGAGAAAAAATGATGTTAATTAAAAGTGATACAATTTTGTTTTTATTATATTATATTATATATTTTATTTTTTTTTCCTTTCTGTCATTCATCTTATCTTTATTGATTTATTGGCTGATTGATTTCCTTCTTAAGAAATTCCAGCAAGTTTTTTTTATATCTTCTTGTATTTCCTTGTTCTGTCATATCATCTATATATTCTAGGATCTGGTATTCTATCACCACATACACACTTCTTTTATTTCTCTTGGTGATATTCTTGTCACTTTTTAAGGAAGGACTGGATTAAACAGCATCAGTGAAAAATCATCCCCTTATCCTAAGCCTTTATAACTTCAATACTGACCATCTTTGTGCCACCAATCTGCATTTGGAATTTGGAATGCCTGCTCTTGCAAAAACCAGAATTTTTATTTATTGAAAATATTCAGTTCAGTTGTGATCTAACAAATCCCTTGCCACTTCGAAACTGAAATCTTGAGATTGGAAAAAATTCTATTACCACTATTTCTAAACACAATTCCATAGAAATGAGAGCACTCTATGCATTAAATGGAGCCCGTATTTATTTGAAGCTTTATGGTTTCTTAAGTATTGTGTTGATTACAAAAAAGGATCAATTTAATCTCAAGAATTCCTATTATCTATTTTACCAATTTTATCCTTTTTCTGTTATCCAATTTCAAAATTATAATTTATGTCTTTATTACTTTTACTTTTATACATTAAATGTAACTATTAAGTTGAATTTTTTTTTTTGTATTGACCCTTTTAAAAAATAAGTTTTAACAATGATTTTCATTTCTAAACTAGTTTTTAAAATATAAATTTATTTGTCTTCAGATGGAAAGAAGCCCCGTCATATCAATGCTTTTTCATATCAGGATTATCTGTAAGGATTTTTTATCATTATTTAATTATTACCAGCATTGGTTATCAAATTTGTTATAATTTTTTATATTTATTTTTCTAGCTTTGCTTGTTGTCCTTGGAGCTTTAGATTTAAATTTTGTTAGTCATGCTTATCAATCAACTCTTACAAAAGGAGCATCAGTGCAGTTGGTTTTTGGTTTTGAATATGCGATATTGCTTACGATAATCCTGAATATTGTTATTAAGTATACTCTTCACTCCACGGATCTACATCGTGAATTACCTTGGGAACATAAAGCAGTATTTCTGTTGTACACTGAATTAATAATGGGTATGTAGTCTTTTCATAGAAAAATTATTTGATGTTTTTTTAATGCCATGAAATTGTTTTCATAATTTGATTAATATTATTAGTGTTATTGTAAAAGAAAAAATATTTCTTGCTTTATCAGCTATGTACATAGAGGACGGAATGGCCGAGCACATTGGGGCATGGGTCCCAGAGTGCTCGGTTCTGAATGTTGTGGGTTCGATTCCCACCTGGGTCGGTTAATTTTCATTTCTCGGCAGCCCCAGGAAATGGAACTTGACATTCCCACTCTGGTAAGTTCAAGGTATAAAAGGTAGCCATCAGGGATTGGCCAAAAGGACCACAATAGGGTCCACTTGCCGGGCTAGTTCCTCCCACAAAGTATCAGTACCAGCTATGTACATAAGCACACACAGCTATTCATATGTAAATTAAAACTATTGTTTAAAATTAAATATGTAACAATGTAAAATTAGTATAAATTTTAATAAATTATGAAGGAAAAAAAAACAGATATGGAATAAGATAATAGGCGTTCAAAAAATTTATAAAAAAGATGACTTTATTTTTTCTAATATATTTTCTATATTTGTGTGATTTCATAATTTATTTTGTATGATTCTTACTTTTAGTTTAATTTTATTTATATTCATAATATTTTTTGATTTTTCATTCATATTTTGTCTGAGTGGGTGGATCTAAATGTGAGTATAGATTTAATGATACACTACTTTTGTGTGTTCTATTTTTCTCATCCTTTCCTCTCACCATCGTCTAGATTACAACTATAGTAACCTATTTTATACATAATAAGATAATTTATTTTATTTCCAGGTTTCATAAAGGTTGTGCTTTATGTACTGTTTGTGTTTATAATGATCAGAATATATACATTACCTCTGTTTGCTTTTCGTCCAATGTATTACACCGTCAGGTTAGTATTGTAGTTAAAATTTAAAACTTGTGATTATCTTTTAAACAAACCTGACAGGTTGGATTATAGAAATAATGATTTTTTTCAAAGGTAATTAATTATTTTTTCAAACACACTCCTCTAGTGAGGTTATGGCACTTGAACTGTTATGGAGATTTAATGAGAGATTCGATCTGTCAGGAATAGATGAAACCTTATTGCTTATCTATTGAAACAGTTACCAGATCATCCTCTTGGTTTCTATTTCTTTGCTTTCTACCTGTTTTGTAATTTTATAAGAAAAAAATAATTTAACATTAGTAGAGATGGACAATCTTTTCAACCTAAGCAAATTAATGAACTTTGTTTACTTTATAATAATATTAATATATTATTATGTTGCCATGATTAAGGCTAAATTGTATGTTTAAAATTTTATTAGATAATGTATTTTAGTAAGTTATCGGGGCATTTTGTCTAAAGTACTTGTGTATCTTTTTTAATTCTCTTGTAATTGATTTTTTTTTTGTGTTTTTGTCATTTATTGAATTAGGGAGATTACATCCAGTGAATCCATCAACCACAAAAGCTAATGGAATTGCTGAGTTATTAGTATTATTGATGTAATTGATGAATAAAGGAATCAGCTGAATTCCATTTTCGGATCCAACAATACTGGGTTTTTGTTTTTCAATACATGCATAACTCAATTTTTACTGTGAATTACATTTCATTTATGAGGGTTGTTTACTAAGTGTTTGAATTTGTTACTTATAAATTCACTATGTTATTAGTTTCATTAATTCACCATTATTGTCACTTATTAATTTACCTCATGAACAATATTTTGAAAATCCAAGATCAGAAAACTTGTGATCTCCTAAATGATGAAATCTAGTCAATGGGTGTACAAAAAGGAGAGGGGTATAGAGGGAAATGGAAGGAAAACAAGTTTTGACTTTATGGCTTTGTTTGGACTGATTAATAGGCAAACATAATGAAAGTTCCCACTCCTAGGTGTGGTGGGCAACCCAGAAGGTTACTTTTTTCCTTATATCAGAGAAACCATACATCCTTGCAATAAAGGCATTCTTCTACAAAATTAAAGCTCATAAAATTTGCCACAGTATTGATGATATTTATTTATATGCTATGCCGCACAGCTTCCAAGATAACCGTGCTCAATAATTGTTAATTATGAAGAAAAAAAAAATTGCCTTATGTTTTTATCTTTGTTTTCTATTTTAGACTCGTTTTCTATTCATTCTGTGAAAATGCATGGGGAAGAAAGTTGTTGAACATTAAATTCTCATCAAGAATATATATATATATATATATATCAAGAATATTTTTTACTTTCTTATCTTCAACCCTTCAAAGCTTAGAGCAAACATAATTTTATGTGTAAATTCTGAGATTTTGGAGAAATACTTAACATTTGTATTTTTTTTTATTTAATCAACTTAAAATATAATGGAAGAATTAGAAATAGAAATGATCGGATATCATTAAGGAATTGTAATTGATTTGGAAGTAATAAGTAATAGGAGTTGCACTGAACGCGTGTGTGTGCACTCGCTCCCGTGCGTGTGTGCCGATTTGAGTTATTTGTTGTTCTAGTAGTAGTAACAAGAGGATCCCATTGTTAGCATAATTGTTGGAATCAAAATGTCGAATAAACACTAGGATCAATGAATGATTTGTAGTTTATTGAAATATAATTTAGTGACTTCATTCCCAATTTAAATAATTATGTTAAAATATATATGCATATATAATATACACATACATGTAAATGAAAGATCATTATGTGTTTCTATCTAACTGATAACTGGTTACAGGGCATTCAAAAAAGCTTTCAATGATGTTATCATGTCAAGAAGAGCCATTAGAAATATGAACACTCTTTATCCTGATGCTACTCCTGAGGAATTAGCTGCTGCTGATAATGTATGCATAATTTGTCGTGAAGAAATGCATGCTGGAGTGGGTAAGGATAAACTTAGTATCTATAAATAAGTAATTCATGGTTTTTGATGAGTAGGAAGTGATAAATAAAACATTAGTTAATATAATTAATTAACTATTGCTTCACTTTAAACTAGACAAAATTTGCTTCAAACAAAAGTAGCCCTAATTGGCCTTTGTGTGCCATGACTGTAGCTATTAAAAAGTCACTTTGGTTGATTCTATGTATCTTACTATGCTTAGTGGGTTGACAACTTCACACTGGGAGTTGTTTTGTGCCAAATACTGCAAGCCTCAAGCTCACAAACCTGTGTCTCACCAGTAGATTATATGTTATATTATATTATATATGTGATATATGTCAGTGTGATAGAATCTCATAAAGGCAACTCTGCCAGTTCGTTGCTTATTCTTAATATTGTAATTACAAACTTATTTATTTTCTATAAAATATTAGGCGAAATGTCACCAAATATACACAGTTTTTACATCCTGTATTATTTATTCGACGTTTCAGCTTCAGGAGCCATTTTCAAGATCCTGCAAACTAATTTTAATTCAGTTGTTATACTTCAAAATACATTCTTATAAAACACATTTTAATTTAACAACAGTCAGTTATATAAATAGTCCAAATTATATTTTATAAAAATATTTTAAAACATTTTTTTATCATCTACCTACCGTGCACCGCTTCATAAAATTTCTAAAATGTATCATTATAATATAAATCGTCTTTTAGTCATTCTTTTATTTCATCGTTATAATAAGTAATTACTTATTTAAAATAGAATGTTAAAATTTTTAAAAACGAAAATATTATTTGTTCTCAATTTATATACCTCTTTCGTAGACAGTATTAAAATAAATTGAGAACAAATAATATTCTTATTTAAACAATTTTAACATTCTATTTTAATTAACTTTTAGAAGTGCAAAAACGACATTCGATGAAGTAAAAGAATGACTAAAAGACAAATTATATTATAATGATACATTTTAGTAATTTTATGAAGCAGTGCATGGTAGGTAGATGATAAAAAAATAAAAAAATTTAATTTTTCTATAAAATAGAATTTGGACTATTTTATATATATATAATATATATATATATATATATATATATATATGTGTGTGTGTGTGTGTGTGTGTGTGTAAACTGATTGTTGTTAAATTAATATGTGTTTTATAAGTATGTATTTTGCAGTATAACAACTGAATTAAAATTAGTTTGCAGGATCTTGAAAATGGCTCCTCAAGCCGAAACGTCGAATAAATAACACAGGATGTAAAAACTGTGTACATTTGGCCTAATATTTTATAAAAAACTTTTAATTAAATGGCACCGAACCTAAAAGATATGACTAGAAAATTATTTATTTTCTTTATTTATCTCTTACCTAGGACCAGCAATAAAATATTGTTAAAATAAATTTATTTTTTTAAAAATTATTTAAGGGATATAGATATAAAAGTAATAAACCAAGAAAAGTGTCCCCACCAAAAAATATTAAATGAATCTTATGCAGTAGAAAGTGTTCAATATGTATATCCTAATTAAATATATGTAACACTATGATGAATGAATATGTTATTTCCCTATTTCTTGATTTTAGTTAATATTATTGTTCCTGCCAATAGGTATTCATTTAGTGTAATATTTATGGGCAAATACCTAATCTATTTGTTTTGCCTTTTTCCTTTTAGCCTCAAAGAAGTTGCCATGTAATCATATATTTCATACTTCTTGCTTGCGATCCTGGTTTCAAAGACAGCAAACATGCCCAACATGCAGGCTTAATATTTTAAGGACACCTGTTAATACTCAACAAAATCCACTTCCTCAGCAAAGAGTTCGTGATCAACAACATCATCAGCAACAACCTAATTTTCCATGGACTAGAGATGCAACTAACCAACAAAATCGTAAGTATTTATTTTATTTTATTTTTTTGCTTTTGGAAAATTTGTTTTATTTTGATAGATTTAAAAACTATACTTTTACTTTTTCTTAATTTACTTTCTTTACTTTACTTTATTTTAATAGCAACATATAATTTCTGCATTTGAAGTTCTGATCTTTCAGAATGGTTATGAAAAATCCATTTTATGTTGGAGATTGATAAGAAACAATTTTATTTACAGTTATTATAGCTAACAAAAGTAGAAATTACATTTTTAAATAAACTTTATACACATAGTAAAAAATCACAACCTTTATTATTGGGAAAACATAATATTTTATAATTAGATGAAGACCCAATAAAGAACTGCTGAAACTGATCTGTATATATCTCATGATATGAAGGCAACGTTGTTAAGATAGATGGGCATTTAGCTTAAAGAAAATCAGGAAGCCTGTACAAAACAATAAGTGCAACAATTGCCATGAGATCACATGGGAGGCTAAAACTAGATAGATAGAATCAATACTGATGTTGCATAGCTGCATGCAGCAAACTGGAAAGCAGTGTCCTAAGATAAGTTGATAAAAGCAGTGAAATCTGGTTCAAACAGTCAAAGATCTATAAGTTATGAAAAGCAAGCATTAAAAAAAGAAATGCCGCCTCCAAGTACGGAATTCCAAAAAATACACTGCATTTGAAATCTCAAGGAAAACATACTAACTTTGTATGTTGGGCTACAGTGTTTTCAACGGAAGAAGAGACACAGGTGGTAGCGCATGTTGTTGCCACGTCAAACAACGGCTTACCAGTCAAATCCTTTGATTTAAGTTGTGTTGTAAAATTGTATCTAGATAGAATTGGAAGAAATGAAACTCTCTTCAAAAATAACTTAGCGGGAAATGATTGGGCAAATTCGTTTATGTGAAGCGTCACAAAGCTTTTTGTTCCATTAATATGAATTTGTTGTTCTTATGTTCTCATAAATATAGTATTGTTGGGTAAAATTGGTGTATACTCATTTTCCTTGTTGTTTCTCAAGTAAATAATGAGCCTATACAATATTGTGGGGTAACATTGATACAAAGTCTTATTTCCTACCATTTCTAATTGAGATAATGCACTGTCTCAATTTTACCCCAATCAATGGGGTAACATTAGGACAACTTTAAATTTTTTTTAGTAAAATATTCTTGTTTCTAGAGTTATTGTTCTGCCATATTTCATAAGAGGAAGAGTGGCTTACGTATTAATAATTTTTTCAGCATTTAACTTTGAAAATAAAGTTAGAAGCAGTATAAAAATTTGAAAAGTGTCCCAAAGTTACCCCATCCTACGGTCCTATATAATTAGTATTTTTTTTTTTTACTATTATCAAAATAAATAAAAAATGAATAGGTAAATAAAACATAAACTATTTATTTATTATTTGTTACAGTGAACAATGCTCAAAATGCAACTACAAATAATGGAGCTTCTATTCCAGGGCCATCTACAACTTTGCCTCCAAATGTTACTTTACCAGAAAACTTCCAATTTTTTTGCCCTCCGTTTCCACACATACCTTTCAGTAAGTTTCTACTTGTATATTAAAATAAAAAGCTTAGCACCCTTTATTAATTAAATAAATAATGAAACATAAATTAATTTTTATTATTTGTTTATTATGTATATATTTTTAATTCTAATTTTTCCATTTTTAATTTATGTTTCTCCTCCATCTGTCATTTTCTAATAGCATTTTATTGCTGAAAGATTTCTAATTCAGCAATAGTTTACTTACTGGGTAAATCTAACTTACATTTATGCTCCTGTTTAAGCGTTTTTACATTCCAGAATTTTGGAATACTTCTCCACTCTAGAGTTAATAGTAACTATTCCTTTTTATAGGTAAAGTTTTTTGATCTTTTAAGAGGTTTCAGGTCAAACAACTATAATAATAAGCATTCTGATAATCAAAACAAACAGGGAACAACAGATGAAAGATTAATAATGGTTCACTTCAATGCTGCCAACTGACCCTTAAATTAAGATCAAGTGATCGTTAGTTAACTATAGTCGTACAACACGTTGATTATATGAACCTAGTACAAATTTGAACCATGGTCATTTGAACATCATTTTGACCTCCAATAATACAACTGGTCCTAAGACACAAACAAAAAATCAATTTAATTCAAGGATTTTTCATAGTATTGTTACGGTCTTTAATTTAGAAAAATCGTTTCCGCAACAAACTTGCCGGATGCTCAGTGGAGACGGCAGGGTTCGCAAAAAAAAAATAATCAAGAGTCAATTAATTATTAATAACTTTCTAACGAGCTCCACACTATTTAATTGGTTGAATTTGGAAAATAGCGAAAACCATAAAATAAAAAAAATAAATAAATAAATTTAATTTAAAAAAAAAGATTAGGACGCGGAGTGAGCTATGAACTCGGAACCTTTGGGTTTAAAAACATATGTTAATTAACCTTCCTACTTGGTTAACCTATCGAACCTTCTTACTTGGTTAGTTATGACTTTCCCTAATCCCTCGAATAGGGTTTTAAAATGCCTTATTAAACCTTAAAAAAAAAACAATATAATATATACATAAAACACCAAAACAAATAGAAGAAAAATATGAAAATAAAATTGGCTATTATTAATACTACTGATGGATTTATTTATTTCTATTAATTTAAATAACTGTTAAAGGAAATGAAAATTATGAACTAGAAATTAGATTTATAAGAAAACAAAGAAAATAAAATTAACTTTAATTATCAAAGAAAAGATTATAAAATTATTATAGGACTAAACATTAGCTTACAACTGTACAATATACCAATTACAAACATTTGGAAATAAAAATAGATAAAAAAAAAAACTTATATGTACATATTTAAAATATCCCACTGGTTGAACTCTGTCCAATTGACACATTGGGTTATCTGAAGAAGCGGCAACTTATTCGAACTAGCGTCTTCAATATCTCCATGATTTATCTCCTCAAGTTATGATAATGTTCATTCACCAACTTGTAAGATCAAGCGCCACTCGTCGCTGATAATCACAGCTCATGAATAGTAAAGAAAATCCGGTGTACATCGTAAAACTAAAGCATTTTACACACAAAATCCTTAGCGTGACTCAACACTCGCGAGGTCCCGCCATCACTATCTCAACTCGACTTTCTTTTGTTTTTTCTCCCAATCAGCTGTTTTCTGTTACACTGACTTAAAAATAATATCTACAATGAATACTTAAAACTATACTTATTATAAACGATTGCTTATTATTAAAACTAATACTAAATACTTAATTATATATTAAACCCTCTTCGAGTTAATAAAAAAACATATTATTATTTATAAAAACTAAAAACTATTTTACGAACTAATTTTTTTTTGTATTTTATTTTTTGTTACAGTATAATCATTAATAATAATATTAGGAATATGGTTGACTCAAGATCAATTAGAGATTTTGGTTGGAAAAAGTTAAAGTACAAAAAAAAATCTATATTTTTTAAGTGCACACATAGTCATTTAGTTCTCTTCACTTTTTTTTTTATGAAGTTTTAGACATTAACTACCATCTTGTTTGTTTAAAAATGAATTATAAGACTTTTTTTACCAAACATATTAGCTAAAATATATATATATATATTTTCTGTGCCAATGATCACTGTAACATTTGCCATACAGAGCTGTGAAATAGAGAAAAAGGAGTAGCAAGTGCGTATGGAGGGGATGTACCCTATACCAAACTCCCCACCTCAATTGTTCAACACTTATTAGTTGTAATCTAGTTGTCACAGTGGAAAAAATATTGAATTATTAAGTTTTTATATAAGTTATTCCAATGATTTATTTTATTTTTGAATGAGTATATGTACACTGCCTTATCCTTCATAGATTTATGCACATGTTCTTTAATTATTATGGTATTTTCTTTTTTTGCCTCTCTTCTAATCTGTTATGCTATGCTACTGAAAACTATAACAGTTCAATTCTAAAATTAGTGTACCATTTACATTTCTTTTATAGGATCCCAACATTGTCTCATTAATCAATTATCATACCTTTTTAATTTTCTGTTGTTTAAGTTGAACCTCTCTTTTGTTAAAGTAAATAGGGTAGATTTATTGTTACAAAAATGTATTATTTAAATTCATTCATTTAATCTATTTGTTATTTTGTTTTAATTGTAGATTTAGCTCCTCCAATGCCTCCATTTGAAAATTTGTCTGATGAAGAACTTAGAAGGCTTGAAAGTCAAACAAGAGAAGGATTAGAAGCAAGGGTCCGTTGTTTACAGAATATTCAAACCCTTCTCGATGTTTCAGTTGTTATGTTACAACAGTATTGTGCAGCAGCTGCTGTTGGGTAATATATATATTGATATTAAGTTCTCATTATATGATTAAGAAAATTAAATCTTATAGATGGACCTGGCTGGTTAAGTTATCACAGCATTAGCAAGATCTTAATTAAAATTTATCTAGCAGCTATGTCTGTGTCTTTCTATCTAACAGCTTTATGCTATTAGTTGATATGAAAATTTGAATTTTATTTTTCAGGCATATTTTATTAATACCTAGATACACTTGTTCTACTATATGCAAGGATGGACCAACGCATATAGTAGGGGTCCTAAGCAGTTAACATTTGTCTTTAGATTTGAATGACTATTTTATGGATCTTTTTTTAACCCTTTTGGTGCCCTATGCGACCACTTATTTCGCCAACTGGTTAATTTCCTCTGACTATTTGATGATTTTTTTGTCTTTAAAGTTGTTTTCTTGAGCTATGATTTCCTTAATTTCTTGGCTTCTGACATACATTTAGTTACAAATGCATGTTTTATTTGGAAAATTTTATATAAATAAAGATACATAAAGGCTTGGAATACTTCCCTTCATTCTACATGCTCATGAAAACTATAATCTCTTTTAGTTATTCAGTTCATGTTGGCTTCTTCTTGATCTTTCTTCTTTTTTGTCTCTCAGTGTGGAAATGTCTTAATCCAAGGCATTTTGCTTTTTCTGTCCAAGCCTGGAGATATAATTTGTTCATTAGAGTTTATTTCCTTGAAGGCAACATCATACATATTCTTTATTCATGTTCTTTGTTTGTCTTGCAATCTCAATTTAGTACAGCCAGAAAATATTCCAGCATAATGGCATCACCATTTTTAAAGTAATTTTCGTTTATCCAGAGAAAATTTTAATGTTTTGTTATAATCATTTTGCAGGCTTTTCACCAAACTTCTCCGGGCTCTTCTTTTTCCTGCTCTTAGTACCATTTGATGTTTGCTTAACTCATAAAAAAAAAAATTATGTGTTCAGTTCTTCTAATGAAGATTCTTAGGAGAAAAAAATGTTCTCTTAGAAGTCTTTTAAGATATGACAGTTTTCATGGAATGAGTGGTTCAGCAGTCAACATTTTATTTCAATAATATTCATGTTGCATCCCTAATGAATTATCAAACTCAATTTTGAGTACTTAATTGTTCGTTACAGTGACCAAGTATATTCACTTATTGATATTATAAATTTAAAAATAATTTTATATTAATAGTATAATAATATTCTGTAAAATTGAAGTTTATTTATGTATTTAGGCAGCAGCAGAATTCTGGCTCTTCTGATATTCCATCTACCAAGGAAAATGTACCAATTCCAAAGGAAAATGTTCCATCTCCTAGCACAAGTAATAGCAGCCCACATGAAAATTCCACAAACTTAGGAAATCACTCATGTATAAAAGAAGACAAAAATACTGATCCAAATTCTTCAACTAATTTTACTTCTGCTCAGCAACTTTCAGAAAGGTAGGCTATCATATCGTCGGCACCATGTTAAAGTAACTTCATGTCAACGTTAAAAAGGCTTTAATTCGTTATTTTAACATGGTGCTGACGATATATTATTCTGCAATAAATTTTAAAGAATGTATTTATTGAACTAGCAACCAGGTTTTAAGCTAAAAACGATTTCACAGTATTTATTGGTTAGGAACTAGGTCGATAAAATATGTTTATAGATGCTAGATTTAGTTTGGGGAGGGGGAGGGTTAAAGGATTAAATGGAATAAGATTCCAGAAAAACCATGATTGTAATAATAATATGGTTTTATTTTGATAATTGCAAAAAAAGGTGCAGTAATCTTTTACATTGGGGTCTAAGTTGCATCAAGTGGTGGTAAATTTTTTTTTGTTTTTTATGGATGTGACAGATGAAAAATCCAAATTTTTGATCTTTCAAGTGTTGGTAGGTTTCTTTTTTTTTTTCTTGTATGAGATGACATATAGACATACATACATAGTTGGCAAACCTACCCATTAATGGGTCTAGGCCTCCTTCAAAAGTCTTTGCCAGTTGACTCTGTCTGTTGCTGCAGCTCTCCAGTTCCTTGCGCCAAGGAAATGGTGTGCGTCCGCTGTGACGGAGTCAGCCCACCTGCCATGAAGGACTTCAGCCAATGTCCTTTTTGGGATCTCGTCTTCCTTCATCCTTGCCATGTGGTCCGTCCATCAGAGTCTTCCAATCTTGATCCACTTGATGATATCAGGATTTCTGTACAGCCTTGAAAGTTCCTGGTTCTTCCTCCTTTTTCAGGTGTCTCCCTCTCGAACCGGCCCAAAAATACTTCTCAATATCTTCCGTTCAAACACCAGAAGGAGGTTCTCACTGGCTCTAGTGAAGGCCCAAGTCTCTGACCCATACATAAGAACCAGATGAATCAGGGTCTTATATAGGCCGATCTTGGTCTTGTTAGAGATGTGTCTGCTCTTGAAGTATTTTGAGAGCCCAAAATAGCTTTGATTGGCTGCTGCAATTCTCCGGTTGATCTCCTGGGATAGGTTATTTTGGGTGTCTATTTCTGAGCCCAGGTATACAAAACTTCGCACCCTCTCAATCAAATCTGCATGGTCCAACTTCGAAGAAACCTGCCCCTGCCTCGGACGGTCCTATTCTTAAATACTTTGTCTTGGCTTCATTGATGACCAAGCCAAGAATTTTCGCTTCTTGTTCCAGAGCCAGGAATGCTTCTCTTAGGGCACGCTACGATCTGGCAGCTATGTCGAAGTCGTCTATGTACCATAGTAACTGGATCGTACTGTTGAATAAGGTGGCCCATGTTTGGATTCCCGATCCACACACTGCACACTCCACCACCAAATTAAAGAGAAGGCATGCAAGGGAACCTCCCTGTCTCACTCCACAGTTCTTGGCAATAGGTTCAGCGAGGTCAGATCAGATACGAACTACGGTGTTCGACCTCAACATGGTCATCCTCTGAGAATGATTCTGAAAAAAGCCAAGGAATACAGGATGGTTATGCACCACCTCTTTCTGAATTTCAAGTCTGGGTATGATACTGTAACCCGACCTGAGCTTTACCAGGGGCTAGAAGAAATGGACATACCCAGGAAGCTGATTCATCTAGTGAGAATAAGGTGTGACTGAGTGTATAATTCAAATTTTTTACCTCGGCGCCCATCTGGAGCACTTTTGAGTATCCTAAAAACTACTATATTTTTTCAGTTTTTCCCATTTTGACCATGAAGGAGGACATTTTTGACAAATGATATTTACTGGTAATATTAAATTAAATAGGATCAATACCCCAATCATAAAATGTAGAATTGCTAACTAGCCGACACTTACCTGGTGTAGACTGAAATAAATATGGTGAAGAAATAATAAAACACAGCCTTATTTTATAGTATTATAAATATTTAACCTAAAAGAAACAAGCACATATGGATATTTATTGGATTAAATTCACTGTAGTTTGAGACCATGATTGGCTCGGGGAACCTAATAGATTACGAACTACAGCTTTCCAAAATTTGACAAATTTTCGCATATTCCAAATTTTAAGCTATAATAATTTTCATGTTTTATTGTACGCAATTATTTATATCTTTAATATAACCTGTCCAATATGAGTTAGTGAAATAAACATTTATTCAATTTAACGTTTTAAAAGGGGAGTGAAGAATGAGGAGAAGATTTGGTGGGAGAAGAGGAGTTCATTGTTCACAACCAGAAGACCGAAATTGAAATACAAAATTTATTTAACAAACATTTACATCAAATGTATTTAAAAAGTGTAAATGAAGTGAATGAAAGAGTAAATGAAATATGAATTAAAGGTGTTTGCTCCGATCCAAAGGACCAATTCCGTCAATCCACCTCCTTCATGGCAATAATTAATACTATATTATGTTATTTTAGGACATCTCGATTAGGTTCTACCTTGGGATATTCAACAAATAAATATTGTCTATAAATATCGGACTAAAATGTCAGAATTCAAATCAATCTCTAAAGTTCAACATTCACAAATTTACAAATGAAACTTTTTGAGAAGATGTTGGTTTGTTTAATGTTAGGTGCGAAAAAAGATGGAAGTAAGAAGTCAGAGATTTGGAGTAACTAACATATTTCAAAACTTTAAATAAAAAAGTTTGGTGCGGTGTGCGCAACACACAACTTTCACTTACCAACCTTGGAGTACCTAGGTATTTTCATGTATAGGGAAGTAAAATTAAAAACAATGGTATAATTTTATTTAAAGCAATTAATTATCATGTTTTTTCCACTCATCGAATCGGTTAAATTTATACGTTTGCATTACTTTCAATTTCCTTTTATGACTGTATAGTATCAAACAATACTAATGATTGTGAGGGAAAATGGATCTTTTGGAAAAATTAAGAATTTTATCAGAAACATTTATCATTAATCTCGTTGAAAAAATAACTCAACATTAGTAAATATTGAATATTATAAGGTTTATATTAGTAAATTAGTAGATATGTATATTAGTAGATCCTCAACATTTTGTGTGAAAATATTTTTTTTTTAAATATGAATAAGTGGTATAGAAAAAGTTAAACTAACAATATGAAAGCCCTGTAAAGATGGGTATAGAGTATCTGTAAAGGGACAGGATTGGCAAAGGTCAGACAATCTCAGCTGTTTCCGTATAGCTTCCAATAGCTCAATTCCATCCATATAGCTCGACTTTTCCCTTATTTCTCCTTTAGTTACTAACCAATTCTTTTCATTCATTATATTTAACCATTTTTATATCAGGTTCCAATATGAAATGGCTGATTATTTCAAATAAAAAATATTAAAGGTACTATACTTTAGAAAGAAATTTTGAAAATCAAGCATTTCAACCCTGTTAGAGAAATTCAATGAGGCTAAAACCTACATTAGATTAAAAGTAGCTTAATTTCAGTTGTGTACGAATTTTCCTTCTTGAGCTAGAATGTTGAAATACTTACACACAGACCATTTTGAGGGACTTGGTTATTTAGACTCAGGAGACCTCAAAACATGTATTTCTGTTAAAAACTAAGATTCAAAAATTTTCACTACATTACATATATACGTAAGCGAAAGTAAAAATTAGGAATAAAAAAATGTGACGAAGAGTTATTTCTTCATTATCTTCTTTAGAAAGCCATTAACCCACTTCTTATACGAATTTAGACCATGTTTTTCATGATAGCTAATATAATTTTCTATAATTTAAATATGGTTGATAAATATTCAGAACGCAGTCTTTTTTTAAAAAAATTTTTTTTAATTTTTTATTTATGCCAACGTTTCAACCCAAACATGTGGTCATCTTCAGGGTGTGGTTTGAGCACTGAGGGTGTTCAAGTACTGTACTCAGTGAAATGTTAGCATAAATAAAAAATTTAATTTAAAAAAAAAAAATACTGCATCCTGAATATTTATCACCCATGCTATGTAGAACAGTCGACTAACTTCCTTCTATAATTTAAATAATAATCGAGAAATTCTTCTCTCCATTATTTACGACAGTCAACTATTTAACCACTATTTTAAATAATAATCATTTGAAAGAAATTTTATGGGTAAAACGTACATGGGTCAAAGTATCACAGATATTCAGGAGTCATCTTCAATAATTTTAAAAACTCTAAAAAAATTAGGATATTTGATTACTAAAATATTAACATTTTGTATGTAAGTTTTGTGATTGTGATTTTTTCTTTCTTTATTGATTCTTTTCAAAATCAACTTTCAGGATTTCGGTTCTTGCACATTTCTTATATTTGGTTATATATTTGTGAAAACTTAATTACATATATATGTACATATTTAGCTTTTCATTTTATGTATAAATCCTGTCCGCAGTGATATGATTTAGTATGTCAGACCTTGGACTGTATTTGATTTTGAAATAGCTTGAAGGATACACGTAGGAACGTGGTTTATTACAAATTTTCCAATTTTAATCTGTCAAAAACTTTATGAGTGCTCTCAGATCTATTCTTGTTTTGAAAATAGGTATGATTGTTGGTAATTTAACAAATATAATGTTCCACAAACTTTATGTTAGCCTTAATTTAATCATAAGATTTCATCTTAAATCTGGACAAGTAGTTGTTTAAAATATAATATTTGTTTAACATTCTGTTTTTAGTGGCAAATCTTCCACACCTTTGAATGATGAAATGCAAAATTTGACCCGTGAACAAGAATTAGCAAGGCAGCGAAGACTTGAAATGTTTGATAATGTTAAACATCCTTCTAGTTAAACTTTATGTGATACATTGATTTGTTTATTGTTAATGTTTTATTCAATGAAATTTAAATAAATATTGTCTGCTGACTTTTTGAAGTTTTAATTCTACTTTTGATTTTTTTTTTTTTTTTTATATAATGGAATTAAATAAGCATTTGTACTTTCAAGTTCCAAACTCTTATTAACAATGTGGCTGTGTTCTCTACTTTTTTAAGCAAGACCAATTTAGTAATGGATTTAGAGAATAATATATTTGTTAGTAATGAAATTATTTTCTTGCTTTAAAAAGTTTTTTTCTGATGTAGCTTCTAATGAATTTATATGTACAATCATGATATTTTTTTCAATTTGTTTCTTAGAGATATGTGCATTTTGATTTTGTATTTTCTAGAAGTGCAGGGAGATTATATTTTTATAAAACAAAATAAAGGAGCTTTGACTTTATTTAATTTTTTTATTATTTGTAATTTTAAAGTTTTCATTAGACCACTCTTTGATTTCCTGAAAATCATTTTAAAATAAATTAAAAGTTGTTATTTTAGTATTGAGCATTGGTTATTTAACAATTTATAAAATTTAATTGAAATATTTACTAATTTTTCCATATTTATCCACGTTAAAAATAGATTTTCACCTGTCATACTATCATGTGCTTTATGGTCATTAAACAATAGATTTCTGTTTTGAAATTGTTTTAGACATATTTAGTTTACTGTGTTTTCAAAAATAATTGTATGCTTTTAGATTGAATTAGTTCTTGATTTTAATAAAGAAAGTAAGTATTGTATCTATAGTAGAGCATCAATTATCTGGACTAACCAGTGCCCTAGTTCATATACTAAAATAGTTCATATATAATTGACACAATCATAAGTATAGTAAAATTGGAACTAGAAAAAAAATATTACACACAGGACTTAGATATTTAAGTTAAATATTAAATTTTAAATCATTATCAATACTTTATATGTTATTATGCTTGAATTATTCTACTTGAAAATTGTAAATATAAAAGAATATTGTTAACCATGAGTATTTTATTCAAAGTAAATAACTACCAATTTTTAGTTTGGCTTTCCTAGTCTATTTAGTGCTCACACCTCAAATTCTGAAGCAGAAATATTTATTACTGGTGCTAGTTCCTTGTTTTTGTGCCTATTTCTTTCAATGGTTAAAATGGAATAACTATGTGTGTTATCCCTGGATGTTCACTTTCTTTATTATCCTTAGTTCTATAGTATTTTTCTATAATACTGTAGTATTAATATTTTTCTGCAGTGAAGTTCTATAATATTTCTCCTATGGTACAATTTTAAAATTTTTGTAGCTTGTATTCAAATAAAACCAATTTGTAGCTTCCTCAATATTACATTCTTGACATCCACTTATGTTTTCATCTACCCCATTCTATTAATTAATTTTGGCACTGGTTTCCAACAATAATGGTTGAAGTCAAAGTTTTCTCATATCACAGAATGGGGGTTTGTGTTTTTTGAATCGGGAAAATATTTCAAACAGATGCTAACTTAATAAAAAAATTGATAAAAAAAAATTAGTTGGGTTAATTTATAGTCTAGTAGGTTGCCGTCCCTATAATTGACGCTCTACTATAATGTGATTTGTTGTTATAACGTTATGATATTCATTTTAGATTGAACAAGTAATAGTGAATCAAGATGTCTGTATAACGATTGAATACAGATTTTTAACTTAAGAACAAAATAATAAAACATTTGGCCTACCATAGTTTTTTTTACCACATTTTTAAACCTTCCATTACTTTACTTTTAAATTATGAAAAATGAAACATGTTATAGTCCTTTTGTCCTAATTAGTAGAATAATAATTAGTTGTGATGTTATTGTGTACTAGTCTAAAGATTCTTGTTTATCATCTTAAATTTTATTTTAAATTATTATCTAAATATAGCTAAGAACAATCATACCCTCAAGTATGGATAAATTTCTCACTCTCAACACAATATTAACATAACTGCTCCTATTTCAATTATTTAGTTATGTTAGTGTTGCTTTGTGATATTATAATCATGAGAGAGTGCTATTTGTGTTTTGAATTGTATTAAAAATTTGTGAACTAATTCAAAAAGTCGCAGGATAAAATTATATATGTATTATAGTAATTTATGATCTGATCTATATATGTACCTGTTTAAGGAATAAAATATTCCATCTTAATTAGAATTTTTATGATACTTATATTAATACTCACTAATCACTGTTAACTTAAAGTCTCCTATTAAATATCTACTTGTTTCAAATTAATGTCAAGAAACAAAATCAAATTATTTAAGTTAGTCATATTTCTGATGCAATGATGTATGTAAGTTATGCACTATGTTTATTTTCTATTTACAGTCCTTTCACTGTAGAATATTAATTATCTGAGATAATCAGGGATAAATATATCTCAGGTTAAACCGAACAAAAAAAGAGGGAAAAATAAATATGAACAAATAGATTAACAACTAAGAAGAGTTACCTCATGTTAACACCCACAAATTGCCTCAATAGTTGGCTTCTGAAAAGATCTTTCTGTTTAGCCCTCTATGAGATAATTATCTTCTTTAAATACATTATATATGCATTTTTTTTATGATTGTTATGTATTATAAGTCTATGGTCACAGAGAATAATCTGGTAAGTCAAAAATTTGGTATTCATGTACTGTGATGAACTCCCAGGTTTTCTTCACTATGTGCAACTTCATCACAATGCATGTAACTCAAGAGGACCATATAATCTCTATAGTCCAGTCGAATTAGGTTTAAAAAAGAGGTTGAAGTAAAAATTCTGGTGTAATTGTTTACGGTGGCAATTTATGTTTTTGTGGTTGCTGGAAAGGAAGCTGAAATTCTTCACCAAACGTTTTCAGCAATTTAAAAAAAATCAAAATTCCTCTTTCTTTGGAATAAAAAACACATGCTTTCTGTAAACAGTTTTTTGAAAGACTCATGGTTCCCGCGAAAAGGGGATGTCAATAAAACCATCTCTACAAAAATTATAGGGGAAACTTTATTTAGTACAAAGTACAATCAATATGGGTTATTTTGGTCACATTTAGTCTGTTCAGGTATAAAATATATCAAAAGCAGATGGATGGATCAATCAACAAAGAAGCATTAGAACTGCATGCAGATAACTGTAAAGAAATAGCCCAAGATAGGTAGGGATGGAGTAGGCTTGTTAAGGCTCAAATCAAATCTTATTATTATTATTATTTATTTATATGATATTTACAACTGTATACAAAAAATACATCTAGTAAATTCGCACATGGATATAATGACATGGAACACATGTTGAGAAACTACCCATTGGTAGCACTCTAATAATACCTCTATATTAGAAGATCACGTGGCCATTTTCTTTTCAGACGCCTCGGAGGGTAATCAGGAATCGAATAGGAAGCAAGGTTAGAGACAAGAGGGTTGGGATGGTTATGAAGTTTATTATGGAAGGACAGATATCTGGATTGGGCCAAATCTGATACATAAGGTCATTATGGATAATTTTATTTGTAACAAAGTAAGGAGCATTGAGGATTTTACGAAGGATTTTGGATTGTATGCGCGAGGAATTTGAAGGTTTGGTGGAGACCCATAGCTCAACTGCGTAAGTCCAAATAGGCCTTATTATAGTCATGTAAATCAGTCTTTTATAATTGATTGGAAGGTTAGAGCGTTTGTCTAGTAAGTGTTGAAGTAGTCGAAAACGTCGAGCTGTTTCTTGTCGTTTCAGTCTGGTATGAGGATTCCAAGTTAGACGTTTGTCCAGATGGAGTCCTAGGTAACGGATTTGTTCAACAGGAATAAGTGAGGTGTTGTTAAATGATACTGAAGGACAGGAAGTCATTGGTTTACGATGAAGGGTGAAGGTAATTTGATGGGATTTATTGGAATTTATTTTAATTAACCAGTTCTGACACCATTCCTCAAGGTTTGTGATGTGGGATTGAAGAGTTTGGGATGCAATAGATGGGTCGTTATTAACTGATAGGATACATGTGTCATCAGCATATGTGGTGATGACAGTGCAGGGATGGGTTGGGATGTCAGCTGTATAAACTGTGTAAAGGATAGGACCTAGGATGCTACCTCGAGGAACACCTGCAGACTGGGAAAAGCGGGATGTATAGACATTGTTGTGATTTAATTTAAAGTATCTATCAGTAAGGTAGGAACGGATAATGAGGAAGTATGTAGATGGTAGGAATTTTCGGAGTTTGTACAGCAGTCCCGGGTGCCAAACTCTATCAAACGCCTGTTCAACGTCGAGAAAGACTCCCGTACAGTACATGCCGCGCTCCAATGGAGAGGATACTACGTCTACCACACGATGGCATTGCTGTATAGTGGAATGGGAGGAGCGGAGTCCAAATTGGTGATCTGGGATTATGTGATTAGAATCTAGGATTGGGTGCAGGCGTTTTAAGATTAGTTTTTCCAGGATTTTTTCCATGATGGGTAACAGAGAGATGGTACGGTAAGAGGATGGATATTCTGGTGGCTTTTTGGGTTTGTGGATCATTTTGACAATAGATATTTTCCAAGGATCAGGGAAATATGTGGATCGGAGTACGGCATTATATATGAAAGTAAGGAATATGATGGCTTTTCGAGGAAGAAGTTTCAAGATCTGGGATGTTATTAGGTCATGTCCAGGAGCTTTGCGGGAGGGTAATCTTTGAATGATGTTGGATATTTCTGTGGGATGAAATGCTTTAGGTGGAAGGGACATTTGGAGAGGAGTATCCAGTTCTGATTCAATACATTCGATGTGGGTTGGATTAAGGATATCAGGATGTGGGTTGAAAATTTGGAACAGATGTTGACCGAATAACTGGGCTTTTTCTTCGTCGGATTTGGACCAGGTTTGGGATTCAGTAAGAAGTGGGTGATTAAAGTCTTTAAACTTCAGAAGTTTTTTGGTTGCCGTCCATAGTGATTTGTCAGTTGTTGTAATATTTTCAGTTAGGTTCAGTAATTGTTGAGTT